CTCATCAGAGTTTAGCATCTTTGCCCTAGAAGAGATTAGAAACTTTGATTTATTTTTTTTTTTAAGCATCCTTTGCATGTCTTTCAGATTCAGGTATCTACTGTGAATCCCGATTCAGGGATCATCCTCCATGCAGGTTAAATTAATTAAGACTGGCCCTTAAAAGAGCATTTGGGGAATCAGGACATGATAGAATGGATTTTGATTGTAGTCACCTCCCTGCCTTACTGGATATTTATCCTGCCATGGTTAAAATCCATTCAGAGACTGTGATATTCCAGCTACCTTTGCAACACCAGCAGCTTGGTCATTACTTACAACTAATCCCTTTCCAGACCCTCTTTAGGAGATGTCAAATCTCCCTACAGACAGAGCTGCAATATTTGGTGCAGATATAATTAGCATCAGGGGGCTCCAGCCCACAAACACACATTCCCAGGAACTGGGCAGGGTCATGGAACAGACTCTGGCTAGGTGGGACAAACCCCTGCAGCAGACCAATCACGCCTTCTGCAGCTCCAGTGAGGCTGTTGGAATGGGCCCAACAAGCAGGGAAGTCGAGGCATTTTCCAGGTGATCACATGAGAGCCAGAGAAAAGGGAAATATTGCCTTTTCCTCATAAGAAATAGCATTCTTTACACAGCCAGGCTTAGACAGAGTTGGCACTGTTCCACAGCATTTCATATCTTTCATTTGCACTTCACATTTTAAGAATTGGTTAACAATAACTTTATAGAAATTAAAGGAAGTTAGATAGATGTTACAATTTAAACATTTCTGGTATAGCTGGTCCAGCTGATGTAACTTCTTTTTACTCTTGGACCAGACCTCTGGAAACCTTGTCACATATCAAAAAACGCAGACCATGACCTGTTTTACTGAAGGACCACTGGGTACATAAATGTATTTGACCATTTGTGTTGCACTTACAGGCTGTGTTCAGGCCACATCCCCTTTGCTCTCGCTCTCCAAGCCAAAGATGTCCCACAAGAGTTACTCTTGGTGGTGGAATCTCAAAGCTGCTCAAGCAGGGAGTGCCTGGCTGTAGGGATGCAATATGAGATGTAGCAGGAAGAGAGGGAAATAAGAAGAAAAGGAGTGGGGATAAAGGGCGTGCTCCAATTTCTGAGGCACTCAATCTTTGCGCACACAGCAGAGATCACCAGCAGACAAACGACCGCAGAGATTAGAATATGTTTCACAGTGCTTCCTTACAAAGGTGCTGGCTGGCTTTCTTAGCAACAGCCAATCTCTCTTTCTCTTTTACAGCCTTCCCTCTCCTGGCACTGGAGAGCTGCCAGCCTTCTCCAGTTAAGTCCACAACCAGAAGTAGCAGGCAAAAGCTGCTCAGGCAGCAGCTGCTCCATCAAACCCACAGTGAACTCTCACCCCTCTAGACCAGATACTAAGAGTTTGCAAAGTTGTGGGGAAATCAAGGAGGATGCACCTTCTTTTCTTCCAAGCCATTCCTTCTGCAGAAAACCTTTGAGGAGAGCAGACTGTTCCCCTGGTGCTCTCACACAGCCACTTGACTTTCACCAGCCACTAGAGATTGGGTAGAAAACAATGCACATGGACCAGACAGATCTGGATGGAATGGTAATGCTGCTTTTGAGGTCCAGAAGGAAGAGCACAAAAACTCCCCAAAAGCATGAAACCTCTGTGGTGCTAATATATCCTTTTGACACTGATGGATGAAAAACATTCTACCTTCTTATTTTGTGTCTTTTAACATCTCCTTCTCCAGTCTCCACTGAGACCTTGCAGCTGCTTCTGCACTGCCCAAAAGCCACAACCATAAGAAATCTGCATCTTCCCTCCCTGAGTAAACACACAGCAAGGACACTACTGTTTGTGTGCCCCATTTATTAGAACTGGGCAGCCTTTACAGCAAATAAACTCCAGCCAGCTGAGATGTGCTAATAAGGATTGCCTTAGGGTTTCTCCTCCAGGAACACACAGCTCTGGTAATGCTCACAAGGCTAGCTTCTGCTCTCCAGTGGATTGGTACTTCTCAAAGTTTGATGGCAAGCGGGGACACTGGTTGCCATAGCTGTATGGAAGGGGTTTTTTGCTTATTTGTGTTGTTAAAACCCAGGGTTTGTTCCTTGGTTTCTTCAGAAGTAACATCTCTTAAAATATGAAATTCTTATTTGGAACTTGAAGAATTTATATGACCTCACTTCTGTCACTGCACAGGGAATAATACTTAGTCAGTAGAGACTTCTAATTGCCTTTTTTTGTTACCTTTTTTTTTCCCTAGATGGGGGCTTCACAAAATCTGAGAGGATACTTCCATGCAGCTAGAAAAGGCTCGAGGAAACTTGAGGTGATGACAAAAAAATTAATTCATCATCACTCAGGATCTTGTCTTTGTTATTTTAAACACACCCATCCTAGGGACTAAGTTTTGCCTATGACTTCTAGACTCGTGTCCACAGCTCAGTCAAGGCAGGTTGAGGAGTATGAGATTTTTAATGCAAAGGGCTGGACACTTTAAAAAGAAAAAAAGAATGAATAAAGCCCTCTGTTTTCCTGCCAGAATTGCTTTTTATTTTCTTTTTTCCCCACTCATTAGTGCTTCCAAGCAAAGGGAAAAGGGAGGGAGCAGTCAGGAGTTTCCAGCCACCAGTCAGTATGAGTGTGCTCATCTTTTTCTCATGTCTGAATTTTCCTTGAGCCAAAGCTTGGACGATTGTTTACAAGGGTTGGGGATCCCAGGCTGCCCCAGTGCTTCCCAGTGGAAAAATGGTCAAAGCCAGGCATTGTTGTATACAATATTGACTGCTCATTTCTACTGCAAACAACAACTGCTGGCAATTAAAGCAAGACCTTTGCCCTACTGTTTTGTAAACAATCTGGATGACAAGACAACATGGAGCTGATACACAGATCTGTCTTTCATTTCCGTCAGACCAGATGCTGATCTGTCTTTGCCTTTTCATTGCAAAACTCAAATCAGGACTTGGATAAGACTTAAATGACTGAAGTTTAACCTAAACAAGACTCAGTTGTCATTTGTGGAGGGAGGGAAGAGCTCTGAGTATGCAGAAGAATGTGTCATTTCTCAGTACTCAAATTTTATCTTAGTTTCTAAGCAATTCAAAAATTAAGACAGTGCTTGGACCCTTTCAAAATATTGCAGATTTGGTTGGGTTGACACACAGTTCAAGGGAGTGGAGGTCCACTGGAGTAATTATTGCTGAAGGAGTCGTGCCTCTAAAACATCTTTAGAGCAGAACAGTCCCAGTAGATGTGGAAAAGAAATCTGGTCTCCTCCTCAGAAAATATCTGTACACACAATTTGTGACAACTGAACTCCTTATCACGACAGGGAATGAATATTCTCTTCCCTCTTAAGTCTCAAAAAATAAGTGCTAGAGCTTCCAGCTTGGAAAAAAAATCTGCTTTCCCAAAAGGCACAATAGGGTTCTGATGATTTTCTTTAAATATTCATGGTGATTAAAATTGAACTTTAATAGTTGCATGAATTCCTTTTAGGGCTGTTGATGTTGTTTAATTAAAATTGGTGTGTTAGCAAAAGTGAAGGACATCCTTAAATTGCATAGTGATTATTACATGAAATTGAATTCCCTTTTTTTTTAATTTTTGTTTTTATTTCTTAGGCAAGGTGACATCATTCTTCCAAAGGGTGGGGCTGTGGTTTTTTTATTAATATATAGAGATCTAGTTCTGATCTTCTCACATTTTTGTGCCACCCCCTGGAACAACAAATTCTTACCTACAGAATTACAGGATCTTATGACAAATATTGGTGCTATTTCCAGTCTTTCACCAGAAGAGAAAAGTAAGGTACATGCAGGTACAATGACTCATGCAATATCAGCCAAGAGTCCGATGAAGAAGTTGTGGAAAGAACCTGCAATGGCGAGTCCCAGGTCAATGCCCTGCCAGTGAGCTCCCACTAACAGGGGATTTTGAAAGGAATAATTAAGCATTGTAAGGAAAAATTAAGCATTCATATAGCCTGAGCCAGATTGTGTAGCCCCTCTTTAATTCCCTCAACCATTCCCTCTCCTGTGAAATCAAAAGCAAACCCAAATGACAGACTGGAATGGTGCCAGCTATGGAGATGAGAAAGACACAGAAGAGTGGAGTAGGGAGGGAGGCATTTGAATGCTCTATTTCTTTTAGCAGACTCCTTTAAATGCCTCTGAATCTCAATATCAGAACCAAAGAAATCTTTTGGGAGGTGTTTCCTTTCTCCACTTCCAGCAGCTACTGAACCAGTGCCAAATACCAGAGGAGAGAATAAAACCAAAAAAGGGAAAGGACATCATCACTAGCTTTGAAGCAAACATCTCCCATGCAATCCAATATCCCCAAACATTCCATACGCTGCTGTCACACTTAAAAAAATTAGAATTGATTCACAACCGTATATTGTCACATTGGCAGCTGAAGCCTGGTAACACACCAGGCCACTTTCTCTGTGCTCTCTGTGCTCCTCTGCCACGGTAGGACAGCAGCATTCCCAGGCACCTCGAACAATCTAGACATTCTTTGCTTTACTCTTGCCAGGTATCTTCCTGCTAGAGTAGATTATGCCTTCTGTGACTGCACAGGCTTTCACTTTAAGGTTTCATAAGCTATATTTTTTTGTTAATGCAGGAGAAAAATTAGATTTAAGAGGGGGAAAAGTGTAATACTGTAATTCTGGTTCTCGGGCTATTTTATATATTTTTATTATAATAGAATACATATATCATTTTACCTTTTTGCACTTATTAATGTGTATTTTTTATTTATCTATGTATTTTTTACCTGACCGGTTTAACGCAGAAAAAAATTCCAGAGTTAGGATGGAAAAAAATTATAATTGTATATATATATATATATATATATATATATACACATATATATATATGTGTGTTTACATCTATATATACACACACACATGTTTAATGCAACATAATTTCATAACAAATCTACAACTCAAATTTTTTTCCGTAAATAGTTTTTCAGGTTGAAATCTTACCTCTGCTCCATCTGTGGGTTAGAGTGGCATGAGCATTGTAATAGAACAGCAGCAGCACCAAAGTCTTCCAAAGCATCCTTCTCTCTAAAATACGTATGTCTAGCTGTACAGTAGCTTTTTTTATTTTCCAAGCTCCTTTCTTTTCAGGAATAAATAATGGCTTTTCCTCTCCCCCTCCCCCTTTACAGAAGAACCTGTCTGTTCCTCTGAGTAGAGCTGAAGTCAGCGAGCAGCTCCTCTCCCAAACCAAGTCTCCTCGGGATCAGGAAACTTACTTTCACAGACAGACTTTGTTTTTATCCACATCTGGAATGACTCATAGTGCATGTGAATTTGCTGGCAGCTGGGTGAATAAATATCATTACATTTTTGTAGTTGAGTTTCATTTGTTATATGGGCCAGTCGGAATTTATTTTCATCCAATAAACAGCCACAAGCAACTTCTTTAAAAGAGACTCTGGGTTGTAGCTACTCCTCTGTAACACAAGGGGCTTCACACTAACCCCTGTCCCAGGAGAATCCCTCCTCTGGAATGATGGACATCTGCCCTTGGATGCTTAAGTCAGGGAGTGGGGCATGTGCTCTGCAGAACATTTTGCTACTGTGATTCATATAATCACTCCTTTATTAAGAACATATCATGCTGCCTTTAGATTTCAGTTCTAGGCAAGACAAGTCCTGGCCTTTTCCTCCATTTGGCCAGTATGGATAACAGGAAGGTCCAAATCCTTAACTGGCTCTCCTCAATGGAACTGTGAGGAATGCTAAACAATTCTAGGGACATACTACATTAGCCAGGCTGAATGTGGAGGGGTGAAGCTCAGAAAAATAAAAGGCTGCTGATGGACATCTCCTGGCTGATGTTGGTGCCAAGGAATACAACCTTGGAAGAGTCAATCCCAAACTGACTCAGCATGGAGGAAGTTGCAGGTATCTACTGTCCCTGACGCAGCTTCAGCAGCAGCACTGTGGGGTGCATTTTGGGAACCTAGCACCAAAATAACATCAGGCTGATGTGTGTTAGAGCAGGCTGATGAAAAACAGGAACACAAGGGGTATTTACAAAACCAAGGGATAGGGGATATTCCATTTGGTACCTAGAAGTGATGAGTCTAATTCTCTTCTTTTGTGGGTGAGAGTAAGCCAGTAACAAACCCACAGACATCCATGAATTTATACTGGTGTAAAACTGGCACATAAGAAAGAAGACTCCAACTCAGAAGGTATAAATAGAAGGATTAAGGGAAAGAATCAAGAGGGCACTGTGGCTCAGGATTAATGTGCACTGGCAGGAAGGCATGGAGAAAACCTGTTCAGCTCCTGTGTGCCTGATGCCAACATCTGGCCTTAGCCTCAGTCCCCTCATTCTTCTCTGTCCCAGCTGAAACAGCAACTGTAAAGGAAGAAGGAGGGTCAAATGAGGCTGTCTTGCTGAAGGCAACTCCACTTCTTTTCCTACATGTACAGATTTTCCTATGCTCAGACTGCCCCAGGTTACTCCCACATGAACAGCACATGAATGCAAGACAGTATTTTACATGCCAAGGAGACGACAAAAGGTGCAATTCAAGTGGAGGGTGGCTCACCAACTCTGTTCCACTCCTGTTACCATAGCATACTAGGGGTGGGTCTGGATGCAGGGTTAAATTTAGGCGTGGGCTCACTCCTGTGTCTGTCCAGAAATTACAGAGCTGGAGGAAACTGAGTTCTATCTTCCCTAGAGAGGGGGAGAGAGAAAGAGAGAGGATTATTCCTACTTTGCTCAGGTCACCTAGGATAGGATGAGCTGTTCTTAAAGGAGGTAGATTCAGTCATCAGCTTGGCCAGTTCTGAGGTGATGTGCATCAAGAATGATGATCTTAACATCAGCAGGGTCTGTGAACTAAGTGTTTCAAAGTCAGGTAAACAAGGGAGAAGCATTACTTGGGATGTATGCTGCAGGCTTGAGAAATGGAAGAAAATTATGAGAGAACCTAAAATCCCATGGGGTGACAAAGGAACATCTTTACAGTGTTATTTGGAGAGCACTTCTGAGGTGCTGTATCGTGTAACTTATTACACTTAAGGTAATAACAGTGATAAGAGAGGATTAAGGAGGTCAAACATACTCTTTCCCCCCCTAAGGCAGAATCAGAACCATATTCTAGAGAGCCCTTTGGAATGGCTCTCTCTTCTGGCTGGCAACAATAGGACACTCTCTGTTTTTGAATTGTCACTGCTTTATCTACGCAGCCCAGAAAGGCTGAGGAGAAGAGTCCTAGGAATTTCCTTGCCTAATTTCCCCCCTACTTACAGCCTCTGGAGCAAGAATCCTGGGAGCAATGGAGGAGTTGCATCTGAGACAGAAGAGATGTGTGGTAAGACGGGCATACAGATCAAAGGGATATGAGAGTAGGAAATGATAACTGAGCTATCCTTTTTCAGACCCTGGAGTTGTTGCTCTGAAGTTACATAATACATATTTTTTAATTGGTGTTTATTTCTCCTTAATCTGAGTCTGGCTACAGAATCCTCTCCAGCAGCCTCTTCCTCCTCTGAGCTCAAATACAATCTCTGCCCACATCCCACTCCACAGTGAAGTCTTCAGGCACTACAGCTTTGTCTCCCTGCATGTACCACAACTGTACAGCAGATTTGCCTGTAAGACTGTGAATGGTGCACTCACATCTGTTTTCTTACAGGAAATTCAGCAGCTGTAAATATAGCAGGTCCATGGAAAATAAAGAATGCTTTCTCTGTAGCACCTCCTCGAGAAGTGTAAATGTCCCCTTCCCCCCTTAAAACTTTAAAATATTTTTTCTCTCTTATATGGATATATATATACACACACAGAGTCAAATCCTCCCTATTAAAAAGCCCTCCAGAGGAAGCCAGGAAATAAATCTTTCAAGCATGCTCAAGGCACTTCAACTGTCTAACTCCTATTCATCTCATGACTATATTTTATTAGATAGTTCCTCAATTTCAGCTCAAGGCAGTTCCTGTCTATGCTGGAGGTTTGAATCACTGCAACTATAATGAATGCTGAAGCAGGGTAGAAATCCTCACTATTTATAAATATTAACCATGCCTACATAGCTTCGGAAATATATAGCAGGGGAGCTTTAGAGTGAAGAGTTCGTCCTGAAGTTGCATCCAGAAGGAGAGAGTGCCATGCTGCTGAAGCCAGGAAGCTGAGGGCTGCTGGCAGGTCTTAAATCAGGGTACTGCTAGACTTAAGTGTCACAGTTATGTTAAGGTGAATATTTATGTTTACCAACTCTCACAAGTGTAGGTGTTGGAGCTGCTCCAGCGCTCCCAGTACCTGTGAACCATGTCAAGCACAGGAAAGGTGCAATTGCTGCCTCTTGCTGACTTTTTGAGGTGAAAATGGACATTTATGTAGCTCCAATGACTAGATAATAAGTAGCAACTCTTCCATCTGAGTCTTCCACCCTGATGCTGTCAGTGGCTGTCACTGCTATTCCCACACAGTCCTTTTGAGAAACCTGGAAATAGGGCAGGGTGCAAAGAAGTGCATGAACACCCCAACAGGGAAGCTGCCAGCTGACATTTTGCAGAGCAGGGCTTGTAGTAGTACTCCAAAGCTGTCTTCCTTCCCATCACAGATGCTGTCATGGGGAAAGGACACCTTCAGACAGATGGATACATAGAAATCCTGAATTTCCCAGGAGATGCTCTGGAGTGACCGGTGTATCAAGCAGGGTGGCCCTTGTGTTCTTTTAAGCAGCTTACTTTGTGAAATGACATAATCTAAAATGTCAATGGAAGGGGAAACAAGGCAATGAGTGATCAGGAGCCTGTGGGTCTTTTTTCCAAGGAAAATAATCTGTTTCACTGGGGAATACCAACTCATGATACCAGCTCTGGCTCTGATGAGCTTCTCCCAAACCCAAGGCAGGACAGGGCAGCCTGTCCTGATACCTCAGTTGCTGTGAATGTCCCTTGCAAACCTTCTGTCAAACAGACAGTTTGTTGGGTTTTTTTTAAGATACACCCTGTTTCAACAGGAAAACAGAGTGCATATGGAAAGCTCCTCTGAGCAAGAATCTCTGCTCTGCAGCCAGAGCCCTGTGCCACAGGCATTGCAGGATCTGCCAGCCCGGTGGAACAATGAGTGTGACACAGGCACTGATGTCCTGCCTGCCACAGGGATGGAGAAATGGAGACATGCACACAAGTGACTCACCCACTGAATGAGCTGATGGCAGAGCTGGGGGCAGACACTGAGAGCAGATCCATTCCTCTGCCCAAAATATGAGGGACTGCTCTGACACTGCAGGAGCTCACACTGCCATCTACCAAAAAGAGAAAGCGATTTCTGCAAGAGGAAAAGAAATACCCTCTTAACAAGGAGAATAAAGAGACAGAAAAAAAAAAAATAAAATAGCTGTGCACAAGCTCCAAAGAGAAGAAAAGACCTTTTGAAACTAAACTGCTGGCATTTGAGCCCCATAGTCCATAATGACTACTGCTGGCCTCTCAGCTGAGCTTGCAGCTTCCTGCAGCAACAATTTGGATGTCAGATTCTCAGCAAGCCTCCGAGCAGCCACAGCCAGGATGAACCTTACTTGGCCACACAGTGCCATGAGTCGGAAGCTGGAAGGGACTTTTGGGCACCTTTTAGCTGTCCTTGTGCCCCACAGCTCCCTTGTTGCCTTCATCTAGCTGCCTGAGCTCCCATTCACAGGAGCACTTAGATGCTGAGCTGGTACTTTACAGATTTACTTTTAAAAAACTGAAATTTAAATTCTGCACATGCAGCTTTGCAGATATCTGAATTCTTTGTGCGCTTCAGCTTCCCCTGTGAGGCTTCTTAAATGCTTGTATCACTGTATCTACCTAAAAAAAACCAGAGCTTCTTACATCCTAGTTCATATTTCAAACAAAATGTTGAGACTTGTATTACTACTCACAAAAACATATGTCTGCAAAGGCCCCTTTCCAGTCCCATGTTGCACATTTCAGTTTTTTCCACATATTCAGGAAGCAGATGGGGAACATATTTCTCTGTGACTTGTGTGTTTGAGAAGTTCTCTGCTTTATAAGGTGTCCTGGCCCAGCCCATTCTCTGCCTGAGGAGATGTGGATATACACCATAAGAAATACCCTAGGACCTGAACGACAGGAACTTCTGGGATGAAGCTTTTCAACTCTGTTGCTGAATCTCTTACTATCTGTGGGTGGTAATTAAATATTTATTGTGGCAGAGAGAAGGAAAAGGAGGGTGGTGCTTTTTGCCACG